CCACCCACCACCACACCCACACACCCACGGGTGGGCTTTTCTACCCACAGCCCCACTCAGTTGCAGTTCCACCCGCGTATGGGTTTGCCCGCCCACAAACGTGCCGGGCGTGCTTGTTTCAAAGGCCTAACGACATGGCCAGCGACTTGTATGTAGCTGTATCTGTATCTTGGAGTTTCTTTCTCATCAAAATCGGAATCATTAAGAATACAAATTGGTCCCATGATAATGTCTGTGTCGTTATCATCTTCATCGCAAGCTCGTCCTCCTGGGGCACGAGGACCACCTTGACCTTTGTGTGCATGGATTATTTGGCTTCCACCTAGACCTCTGTCTCAACAACTCTCAGTAAAAATTGCTCAACATCAGGATTCGCAACAACTTACTTCTTCTACGAGCTTTTTAAGAAAGTAGACAGTGAGAGACAGGGAGACTGAAAGGCCTCGTCAATATTCAATTATAACATTAGGCAAGACGTAAAACAACGAGGTATCAGGACATAACAGATTGATGATTTTGATACAATCACTCTGACTCTTGCTAGTCCCCCTTCGTCGGCGCATTAGTAAGACTTTGTATGAACGGTGGCTGTAACTGCGACTACAGCATGCAGAAAAACACAAACAGCTCCTGTTCTTACTCCTCAACACCAGCTGGATGAAGATGACACGACACAAGGAGAAGGAGCACATCATCATCATCATCATCATCATCATCGAGAACACGACAAGGTGCTGTACCACTGTGATGAGTTGAGCAATAGTTGTGGATGACTGTGATCCTCATACAACACGATCAGGAGCGCCAGTCTGTCACGTACTAGCACGTTCAATTATGATGTCCTCGGGAAGTAGGAGTAGCCGTCAATCTGTCATTCTGAGGGCCGTCGCCGTGATCGGAGTAAGAAGACAAGAGGACTTAGAGCGTGAGCGAGCAACTCGTTACTATGCGTGTGTCTTCATGAATGGAGAGCGTGAGAGAGAAGAAAGAGTAGAGCAGAGTCATTGACTGTGGTATCTTGGTGAAGAGAGAGTAGAGCCAAAGCAGAGGGTGAGAGTAAGCAGGTGACAGTCATGGTCGCGAAGAGGAGGACGTCATGATCTGGTGAGAGTTAGAGAAACCCGAACAGGCGCAATCCCCGAGCAGTCATGACTGTGTACTAAACTTGAGCGGCATACATTTTAGCATTAGATGTGGACGACTAAGAGGACCACAGCAGGCAAGCCTATGATCTTCTGGTATTAGCATCGATTAAACTAGTCGTGGCCAACCTCTCGAAAGAACACGGATCCATTGGTTCGCAGGAATGTCTATTCTAACCAGAACAGCAACATCAAGCGCGAGGGCGAGTCTTAACTCAAAAACCAAAGCAGCACCAATAAGCATGCACAAGGTACGTAGCACAACTAGCTGGCACATGATACTTGATGGATGAAAACTAAGTTGGGGAATTAATTCACAACCTACTTACACATTTCTCCGAGATGATCCTCGACAAAGAAGAAGATGAGAATGCAGATACTTAGAGGACAATGTCAAGTTCCACTTTCCAGTAAAGCGCACAAGGAGTTGGGAACGAAATCCATCAGAAAAAAGGGCGCTTTTCGTAGAAGTGGGAAATCGTGTGATGTAGAAGGGGTAGAGGCAGCATAACGGAGCGAGGATGAGAGTACGAAATACATTATGCAGAATCGCAGAAGCATCCGGCGATCATACCGGGGAGCACAGTGCTGTGGTGTCTCTAAAGAAAAAATGATGATCAAACTGTAGCATCCATGCAAAGACTCGTGATGGACGGGTGAATTGATTGATCTTCTGAATGAACGGCAAGTAACACATTCTCTATGGCTGCGCGGAAGTATGAACAGTTGTAGTGCAACCAATTATAGGTATCGCTGGGTATTGAGAATAAAGCTTCACTCATCGTCATCAACATGCTGCACATCAACACCGCAGCAACATACACGGTGCCGGATCGGCTAGTAGGAATAAAGCTTACCGAAGGGTTAAGGGGTTGATTCTCAGGCTCATCATGTCTTCATGTCGAAAAAATAATAGGTGTTTATGTTTGCAAAAATATGAAGGAGGATGAAATGCTCACTCGTATGTGTAGTAGTTTGCAGAATGATGGCCGCACCTGAACATTACCATTCCGAAGGTGGTCGAACTCAAACCTCGATTGTCTTCAATAAAAAGGGATCAGAAGGACGCAAGTTTCAAATTTTCATCATGGTTTCCGAAGTGTCGTAACACCACTGCAAGAAGATGACGCTGGACGCCCTGGTACCAGGATCGTAAAATAGCGTGGCAGAAGATGGACCTTCTTGCACCGCAGAATTTCTTGCAGTCAGATAGGCTGGACGCTTCCCGCCAGAGAAAAGAGCCTTCCTCGCATACCTGTAGAAGTGCTCCGCTGTCCACTTTTGGAATTTACTGAGAGCCAGATAGACAGCACACAGGTTTTCAGGATCTTCCCGCTATGCCCAGTCCGATGTCTGGCCTCGTCAGCGTCTCATCGACTAGCCTCTTTACGTGTTGATCGTTGCCTGGTATTAGCGGCTGTAAGTTGACCGATCTAGCTCGCATCTCTGGTGCTCTCTTCTCCCTTAAAAAGGTCATAGACATGCTCTTAGATCATAGGTCAACTTCATCCAGCCCTTCTTAATGGTAGTTTTCCACACTCGTGCGGGAGGTAATCCATGAGATTGGCGCCCTTCATTTCGTGCGACCAGTTCATGCTGTAGGCAGTGTGCATGCAGTCGCCGTTTGGACAGCATCGTCGCGCGATCTCGTGGAATGCGCTCGGCTTCATGTAATCGAAGACGTTGCTCCAGCTCATAGAGTATGGATTGAGGCCACTGATTTTGCGAATCAGCGCATCATTCTTCGGACCAATCGCGTCACAAATTAGCTCGATCGAAAAACGTGTTCTATCTTGGAACGCGACGCACAGTATTCTTGATTCCCGACTCAACCAGCTGCTTGAAGAGTGTAACTATGTCAGCGGCACTACGGCACTTCTCCGTTTCCGCATTCGATGGATGTGAGGGCACACCACGCGAAGTTATATCGTCAACGTAGTTGGCACCAGCACCGTTGAGCGCAAAGTAGATCAACTCCTCGATGCCCACAGTCCCAAGTGCACTTCCGGATTCAATCGGTGGAGCCCAGTGTGGGACATTCCACATCACCACACTTCCCAGTTCCGGCTGTTCGTGGTCATGGAGTAACAAGTCGCCGGTCAGCCGATATTGCAAAATCGCCACTCTGTCGACTTGACGCCTATAACTGGCGACACATTACAAAAATCGTTCCGGGGTTTTCGACATCTGCACACTCCACCAAGCTAGACGAGCTTCTTCAACTGATAGAATCTCATTGAAGATGTAGTTGGTGTTACTACTCTCTACTGAAATGGAGTTGTCTTCTTCATCATCTTCATCTTGTTCTCCAAACTGACTGCTAAGATTTGGACTTCCTGCGGTACAATTGCAGACGCTATCCCAATGACGAATATACTCGAAAACCGCTTGTTCTTTTTCCGGCACGAAACTAAGATTTCCCGGCTTGATTTCTTTGATCGCTTCTTCATGAAGCACTACTACTTCCCACCTACCTTTTGAGGCATTGAAATTGCGAAGTCGTCCTGATTTTCCATTCAGACGCCTCACGGTCTCATTTTTGAGTCCTTCGATTCGCACTCTGTCGCCGATTGACAGTTCACTACTACTTTTGATGTCTGACGCTGCAGAGGAAGTAGCCACCATGACCTTGCTGTTTACAACTTGTTCACAACTGCTCGTGACCTCTTTCAAATTTTCCACCTTGATGATCTTCTTCAAATCCTTGCCGTTGATTTTGACTTGCACCCTTCCGTCACCGACAATATTGAAAACCTTCACGCGACTTCCGTTCAGCGCCTTCCCAGCTTCGCTTTCTGCTTAGAGCCAAAAATGTAAAAGTGTATAATAGTACGACTACGACATCAAAGAAGATATCATGATCATGATGATACTCATTTCTGGGGTATGAGAACTTCTTCTATATCGACGACGCGCTGGTGCTGCTGCTGGATTTTTCAATATCTTAAAGTTATACTTACAGCGTCGAACTAGAATCGTGGTCTAATAATGCTATGTCGGGAAGAAGAAAGTAGTAGTAGCCGTGATTTACATCGAGTACTATAGGCATAATGTAATCCGAAAATCTCCGCCGATCCGCCTTTCAGGAGGAGGACACTTCGCACAGTGGTCCGAAAACTCTGGAGGCAATCTCTAGTCCACGTAGAGGAAAACCAGACTTGGAGAACGTGCGCAATCGGAATGGAGTGGTCAAGCAACATTGCCGCTACAATTTTCGTCTTCGCGACAGAGTAAGGACTCGAGTCCACTCCGACAAATTTGAACCACCGCAGCGATTCAGCACCGACACCAGTCGACTCGAAGCCCGTCTTGATGATACACATGAGATCGTTGAACCCGACTGCAACATGAGTACTGTTCCATGACAGAAAGCCCCCCTTTCTCGAAGGACAATTACTGAAATTCGATCGCAAGTCGGCAGTGTAGGGAAGCTCTCTCTCGCTTGCCTCCTCTGGAAGTTGTTCCTTCCAATCTAGAATTTCTGCTGTAGGATGTTTCGCCATGTGGTGAACAGGATACAGAGAGTTCCACCGCCGTGCGACATCTGCCGGGGAGTAGGCCGGCAAATCTGGACTCAGCAGTTGTCGATTCGTCCAATGGGTGTCGAGTTTTGCCCATAGATTGATCCGCGCGAAGTGATGTGCAGTCTCCAGCGCCGCTTTGCACAACTGCTGATGGGATGGAGAGAAGCCAGGTGGAAAAACTTGGAATTCTTCCGCAAGATTGGCGACCTGTAAAGCCTCGATTTTCGCTCGAGACGGAGAAAGAGTCTCTGCGAGGCGATATACTTGCGTTTGCTGCACAAGATACTCCGTGATCGCAACACCATCGAAGGAGTACGCTGGCTTTTCTACTGTTTGATGTTTTGCTGTTGAATCGCCAACTACCGCGTCTACTTTGAGCTTCTCGACTGCAAGAGGACCCACTTCGTCAGGGGTCAGTAGAACCGAAGGACAATGAGCATCTTCAACTTCCATCTTGTTTATTCTGATCATGCTTGACTCCACAACATCTCTCTGTGTATCTATGTAAAGAAAACGCACGAAACTGTTGCAGCATGCATTAAATCGTTGGATGAGTTTCGAGAGGACAACATCCTCCCATGAACACAGAAGTAAAACAAATAACCCGTCTGGGGTCGCGAATATTACCCGCCCATTTGGCGTGTCTGAGGGACATACATCTCGACGGTCAGTCTTTGTTTGCGTTTTTCCTTTGTTTTCGTGATGTTTTTTCGCGGTTCCGGTTCATTTACATTTTCATTGCGGATCTGTGTTTCTATGGTAAAGGACCATCCACTGTAGCGAACGGTGTCCTCACGATTGTAGTGATGTGTGTGTGTCGTGTGTTTTTCTACTTACAAGTTAGTAAAAATTGGTCTCTCGCGCTGAACCTGAAGCTGAACCATACTATTTTTAGGTACTAAGCGAGAGCGAGTGTAGGTGTACAACGTTCAAATCCATGTCCTTCGATCACGTCGACGTCATAGTGTTTCCTTCTTTGCGTGCTTTGTAGTTACAAGAACCTCGTCCGAGCTGATTGTAGGCCTTCCCCCTCCAAGAACTGCTGGCTTCTCTTTCTCAGTACAGCGTGACGATTTCTTCCATCACACTGGGATGCAGAGCCATCGTGAGGTCCAAATCGCGCTTTGTTATGCCCTTTTGCATCGCAATTCCGAGAGATTGGACGATTTCTGCAGCTGCCTCCGTACAGATGTGAGCTCCGACCAGCTGCATCGCGTCTGCGTTTCCCGGACTGCGCCTGGACTTCTTGAAAACCAGCTTGACACTATTAGAGGGAGGAAACAGAGAAAGAGAAAGACAAGGACTAGGGAGATGCGCTGGTGAGGTATAGAGTAGAGTGTCGCTTTGAACAAGATGAACGCCATCTACTTGTAAAACCTCGTTTCTTTGATAATTGTGGTGGAGCCGACCTAACTAGAAAAAAGACAGACCAGAGAGACAGAGGAAGATATAAAAGAGAAAAGGGGAACTATCAACAAGTATCCCAAAGTATCCTGCTAACTGCTAAAACTAACTAAGCGCCGGCGCTATCGTCGTCCTGTCAGCCCCATAGGTCTCACCTTCAAAGGCAGGCCGGAGCCCTGTGCAAACGCCTCGTTTCTTTGATAATTTCAATTTCTTTCATAAGAAAAGCGACTTCTTTTTCTTCTGGCTTCAACGCCCACTGCTGCAACGGCGGAAAGACTGGCTTCTTGATGACTACATTTTTCTTCCCAAATTGCGTAATCGCTTGCTCTTCCGTTAGCCCGCAGACGCCGCATTCTGGCAAGGCAAAGATCGCACTACTGTACATCTGGAAAGAGCGTTCCGTAATCGCAAAATCGCCCTTGCCGTACAACATGTCAATTAGTTGTCGTCCTTGTGCGATGGCAACAGGGGTGAGCTGAATCAAGTCATTCACATCACCAAGTGCAAAGACTGAAGGATTGGACTTACTCTGGTACAGAGTGATCTGCTGTTGGGAGGATTCCGCTCCGGGAACGGCAGCAGAGGACTCAGTTCCCTCAGCATTTTTACCTTTTCCCTTCCCTTTCTTGCCTTTTCCCTTGCCCTTTCTTCCTTTACCTTTGCCATCTTTGCCATCGTTGGCAGTGGTGCTGACCGGTTCCGTTCCGTCAGCAGATGGCTGCGGCTTATTCACCATGCTATTATGCACATCTGCGTAGGTGTGAATCGAGACCGCGCCCTCCGGACTCAAGGCAATGCTGCCAGCTTCGCAGCCCAAACCACTAGTGTTTGCCTTTCGTCCTACTGCCTGAAGCACTGCGTCGTACACTTTTTCGGTCTTGTCCTTGAAGGTGACGCGAATCTGACCCTTGGCTCTGCCACTCTTGGCTGAGTGTGAAGTGAATGCGTTCAAAAATATGAAGGGGTTCACATCACGATGAAAAGATGATGATGTTGTTTGAGATCATGAGATGAGTACGCGAAGGTTATTGGTAAATATTAAGCTCTACTGGTTGAACAGCACGAATCATTCTGAATCAGCTTGATGCCTGAAAGAATGTTATACCGCACACGAAGATCAAAAATTGCACTAGATACCGGTGAACTGCTTCCTCTCGAATTTCTTTCCATCGTCCGTGCTAAAGGGCGTCTGCTGTTTCAATTCTTCGAATTTTTCAGGTTCCGTGTTGATCTTGATGTTCACTCCACGCTTGATCAATTCTCCTTGCAAGTGACTGCGCAGCTCGTCATCAAACCCTCGCAACACCACGTCTCGTCGAATGACAATATCCACTTCGCATCCAAACGCGTTCAAAATGCCCGCCAACTCGACTGCAATGTAGCCACCGCCGAAAATGCAACATGTTTTAGGCAACCGTTCCCAATCTGCGAAAAATTCCAAGCTCGTAGAGCACAAGTCCGATCCTGGCTGGGGCATGCGGGAAGCACTGCTGCCGGTTGCCACAATGATGCGTTCTGCAGTGTAGTTGCCGACGTGGAGAGGCAATTGCGGTCCGTGGTTCATGACGGCGTAGACAGCGCGAGAGTCGTGGCTTAAAGGAGTCCACGCATCCACTGCCTCCGTCTCAACTTTCGAGTCTTTGTTCTGGTTCTGACCCTTCTTTTAGAGGTAGGTTTTTGGTGCTCGCTTACCCCGCTTTTTGTGCCTTTCTCCCTTAGGAGAGGCACGATCACGAAAAGCAGTAAGAAAAGCACCTTTAACCTACCCTTAATTCTTTTTTCCATTGTTCCCTCCATCTCCATCCAGATCGCTTTGACCATGCCAGGTTTTCACCGAAATGTCGTTTGGTCCCGTGAAAAAAGCTGTTCCGCGGACCACCTCAACTCCAGCTTTATCCAAATTCGTCTTGTGGATGCCGTTGAGGCGCGCGACGTAAGCACGGACATTCTTCATCGTCTCCGAGAACTTCATATGCACACTGCTGTGCAGGCTCTCATTCGTGGCGCCACACCTGTAGTTGTCGTGGTTAAAAAGTTTGTGATTCTGGCACTGGCTGAGGTAGTGATCCTGGTGGTAATCAAACAACATAGTCCAAGTCCTTCGACGCTTGTTTTCTTGCGGATCTATCACGTCAACAACCTACAAGCAGGTGTACGTGTACTAGGAGATGTTGCTCGTCCCACGACAGAAAGACGTACAACTACTTACAAAATGCAAATAGCCCTTCCGATCATCAATCTACCATGCAACGGGCAGTGGTTTCCAAAAAATCCGAATGAAGATATTCAAAAATTCGGTTTCCCAAAAATTCTACCATCCCATCCTTTCTGCTTGTAGACATTTGTGTTTGAATTCGGCCGCTGTGTGCAGCATCTTCTTCGGAACACACCCCACCGTGACACACGTTCCTCCAATATAGGCATTCTCCACAATCATCACTCGCTTGTTGAACTTCTGCGCCGCTCGCTTCGCTGCTGCTAAGCCGCCAGAACCTGCGCCGATCACGATCAAATCGTAATGATTTTGATTTTTCGTAGTCGCAGAAGAAGAACTCGATGGCGCGGCAACATTTTTGGCTCCACTGGCAGGAGCACTTGCACCACTGGCAGGAACAGAGGCTACTCCGCTTGAAGGTGGTCCCGCGGAGGATGCGGTAGAAGTAGATGGGACTACCTGACCAGCGATGGCCTCAACCATCTTTTTGCCTCGGCCACGCGCCATTTTTCCTCGCTATAATTGAGGCTGAACGTTGAGACCAGGACTCGAATCTAGAAGGACGAAGCAATGCAATGAATAGAAAAAATAACCTAAACCTTCCAAGGAAGTTAGTATCTATGTATAAGTGGTCGATGCTGCACAAAGTAGCTCCAGATCTTAATACATCAAGAGTTCTCGTCTCCTGGTGCGTGCGCTCACTGCTCTGCGAAACTACTACTTTTTAAAAATGTCACGAAAAGCAAAAAGCTTGAATCAAAGCAAAAAGATGATGAAGCAAAAACGTGATGTTGGTATTCTTGATTTTGATACCTATCAGAGATGAGGGTCCGAAAATCCTAAAACAGAAGCGGATACAGATATACCGCAAAGCAGGGACCGAAAACCTGAGGGTGAATAGAAGACGGGAAGTGGGAATTGGAAACTCAAACTTTTACATTTTCAAGTCTGTCACTCTTCGTCCTCAACATTTACTTTATATATCTATTTCTTAGACTGCTACGACTGCTGCTCTCAAACTCAATGAAGATACACCGCTATAGACGTCCTTCTTGACAAACGATGCTGGATTGCATCCGAAGGGACACTGAGATGGTGATCTCTCATCCAACAACATGCTCGTCAAAGTGATGCAACTCCTCTCTCCCTCTCGTTTAAAAATGGAAGTTTGCTTTTACCTCGAGAACGCGGTAATGCGTGCTGTGCTTGAACATGAACTCTGAGCACGAACACGTGATCCAAGATCGCACAATTTTTTTCGTGATCCAACAATCTAGGATAAGGTGGATCTGAAGTCAGATCATACTACAGAAACAGGATCTAGTTCAAGATGCCCAGTGACGGTGAGTGAAAAACCATCTACCAGGTCGTTGCTCACGAGAAGGCTCTGATCTCTTCGTGGTGGCGCTGCAGTTGCTGGTAATCTATTCTCTACTCGCTGAGTCAAAAACCATGCAGGTCATGGATGTAGCACTTTTCGCAGGGAGATGAATTATATGAAGTTGTGTTAGTAACCACTAATACCCTGTAAAAATAAGTATGACTGTGTTGCTCTCTCGTAAATTGAAAATGAAACTCTTCACTGGTCAAAGACGCCAAGCAGAACTGCTCCACTCTATAATCCGGTGGAAGAAGACTGCAAAAAAATTCTTCTCAAAAGCAGAGGAACTTTGGCTTTGCTGCTTTTCTTACTTTTCATTTTGTTCTCGTCCTCCGCCTTAAATGCTTTCGTTTTCTTCGAGGACTGCAACGAACTCAAATACCGTTGAAGACAGCATCCTCGTACGAGCATCCCTCGAAACGAAGGGCTAGGAGTTCTTTCGAGCCAAGGCTTCAGGAATTGGAACATTCTCCTAGTAGAACAAGTAGTTTGCTCTCCCTCATGATCTACTTCTGTATTTGCTGCATCTGCTCCATGTCCAAAAACCACTAGCCAAATTTTTTCGTGTGGCCTACACGAATTCGTGACCCGTGGACACCTTGGAGTTGGAACTGCTGCATTGGTGTTGCACGAGCTAGAGGTGGCACCTCCGTTGCTACTGCTCACTCCTGGTTCCCCAATGCTACTGCCACCACCTCCATTACCATTGCCAACTGTGCTAACTTCGAAACTCGAGCTCGACCCAGCACCCGCAGCACAGGCACTGCCAGGAGTGCTACCAACACTACTTGTTGGTGATAACGTACTGCTATCAGACGGTGACCTAGATCCTCGACCGCCCCTTTCCTCTCCTACTGGAAGAGAACTACGACCAGCCGAACCTCCAGCAGACCGAAAACTTTGTTCTGCTTCTGTTGAGACTCCTCGTCCTGTAGAAGTACCAATGGGCGCTCCTAACGAGAATAGCATCGGTAGATGTACTGAACTTGCTTGCTCCATCTCTTCTTGCGTCAATTGCTCTTCTTCTACAGGAGCTTCTCCTGCACTGACATCGATATTCTGATAGTACAGACTATCGATATCTTCGGCAGACACCCAACTTTGGCCAACAGCATCTAACAAAGCCTCACCAGCTACAAAAAGCACATCTCTTGCATTCACCATCGCACGATGTAATTGTGATCGACGAGTCTCTTGTTCGAGAACTACCTGCTGTGCAGAAGCAGGTGTTGTAACTTCTGTCGCGTGTCCTGCTTGTCTCTGTTCGCCTCCAACAGCACCAGCAGGCTGACCAGCACCCCTGCTACCAGGAGCTGCAGACGAGTTATTTGCAGCTGAGTCAACATCAACGCTTCTTGTGTCACTGGTAGATGCGCTTGCGCTTGCCGATGCCGGCACGCGTCCTCCACTCAGTGAATCACGATAAGCTAGGTGAGCTACCAAATCAAGGTGCTCTGTACCGCTCCGAAACTGTTGCTCGAAAGGGAAAGGGTCGTGAGGATTTGTAAAAAGTCCCAAGGTCGGTCCGAAAATCCCAGTCCACCCTGTAGTTTCAGAGCTAGAAGTGGCCTCTTGTTCTTGCGGAGAAGTTACTGTGCTAGAGCTAGACGCTGAGGTGGGGGACGTCGCTCCAGAGGATGACGACGCAAAGGATGACGACGAAGAGGATGTACTACTGTTTGTATGTCCGTCCTCCGTCATGATATGTACCTCAACTACGCCTCCCTGCTCTTCTCCTGCTACTCCAGCAGAAGTAAAAATGTCGTGTACAACGCCGCTTTGCTCCACCTCCTCTTCCTCCACTTCTTCGGATGAATCTCCCTCAGAATCTGATTCTGCATCTACCCCTGCCAAAAAGGCCTGTTGAAGTTGTCGATGTCGATGTGTAAAAAACAATGCTCCTCGTGGTCCACCGACATTTGCATTTGTTCCTAGCGTAGAAGTAGAAGTGTAAGAAGTCGAAGATGTTGAAGGGGCTGCTTTTGTGGATTTCTTCATGCGTATCATCGAGCATGGAGTAGAAGTAAGATCAAAATCTTTAAGATCTGTTGCATCTTCGAGCCCCTTCTTGGTGTGACCCTTTGCTAGACCGTTTGCTTGAGGTTGACAACAGCTACAGGGCATAAGACGCGCCGTATCTGACACCCCAAGGCCCATTTTATGCGAGAGAGCTTTTCGTAGGTCTGCCCGTCTTCGAGTGTTCATCCTCGCTTTTGAATCTCGTTGCGCTCCCATAGCAGCAGCCATGTTACTCAGCAGCGCTCTGCTGCGTCTGTTAGGGGTAGGCTTTTGGTGTTCGTTTATCCCGTTCGTTATGCCTTTCCCCCTTCCGGTAGGCAAAATGAACGGTAACAAGATGAACACCTTTAACCTACCCTTAAGTCTGAGAATAAATCCAGATCTACAATCTAAGGCACTAGAAGGTGAACGAGAATCGATGCTCGTCTCTGCTGTGCTTTCTCCTCGAGCTTGACCTTGACCAGCTTGTCGTGCGACGTCATTGACAAGATCATGAGGACGAGCCTCATTCTCCAAGCCCAATAGCATCGATGCTTCCACCACAGCGTCGTCTTCAAAGTGGTCTCCGTACTCGATACCCGCAGCTACTGCATCCTCGCCAGTCAGATGAACTTCATCCAGGACCAGGTCCTCTATAACTACAACAGGGCTGCTCCCAACATCTTCTTCGAGTGGCACCCGACACGTCGGACAAGCCTCTACTGCAATGTCATCGTCTCTATTACTAGCGCATCTTGTGCGGCAGCGTCGGCACAGAAAGTGGCCACACGGTAGAACTACGAAGGTGGCTACTTCATCATCTCGCTTTCGCTCCTTCTCGAGGTGAACACCCTTTCGTCTACTTCTTCGCTTTCTGCGTTCCTCCAGTTTTTCACCCACACTTTCATGGCAAACAGGACACGAGAGGCCTTGAAGTAACCTGTAGCCGCTAGGGTCCCGTATCTTGTTTATTCTTCCAGCAGTTCCACGGACTCCACGTCCAGATCCACTAGAAAGTGCAGCAAGCTCGAGCTCGTCCTGCTTTAATGTGATGGTCTCAATACGTCTACTTCCCTCTCTCACACCACTCGAGGAGGGTCCAAGTATAACTGCATCTGCCAACAGCGAAGTCAATTCTCTGAAGACCGTCTGCAAATCCTCAGGCGAAGCTCGAGAAAGCAATGACGAGTCACAAGCGCAAGTTTCTTCAGAATGAAGCCCACGACCTCCATATTCGTGGCTGCTTAGCTCCTCGTGGTCCATTCCTTCCACCGTGTAACTGCTAGCACTATCCCTCTTTGGTTTTCCAGGAGCAGCTCCATCGTCTTTCCTCACCCCACGCCATCTCTTTACGCCCAGAAGATCCCTTACCAACCCTCGCATTTTTCGCGTCCTTCTGCTACAGCGGGAACGTAGCCAGCCCTTCACTGGTTCTACTGCAGTTTAGAGGTACGGAAAGCCCATCTTTTAGAACATCTTTATTCAGCGGCCTATTGCAGCAACAAGGAAGAGACTAAAAGATGGCGTAAAATAAAGATGGGTTCTTGACGGTACCCATAAGCTGTGTAAAGAACTGTGGCTCCACTTATACAGCCCATTGTTGCGGGAAAAGTGAACATCGCAAACTCCAAAAGTCTCCAACCGTGTGCATGCCAATTGAAGAGAGACGAAGTTGGGCTTGTAGGAATAGGAAAGTCTTTTGTTCGGGAGGATGCATCAACTGTTGCACTTCTTTCGCCTGTAGGGCTACCACTTCCACTAGTATTTCCTGAATGCGGAAGAAACGGACAAGGAGGTGACGCACACTGTCCAATCATGTTTGTGTTACAACTGTTACGTAGAAGCGCTTCTGGTACTGATGCAACTGGTTGTTGTACAAATTTCAGCGCTTCTCGTATGTCTTCTTCTTTATTCGCCACTAGTGGCCCTAGGCCTAGAGCTTGAACCTGGCTCCAAATTTGGTCCTGTTTCCACATTTCGTCTCCAATTTCTTGCTGCTCATGTGCGATTACAGGGTCAGCCGTACTGCTACTTGATGAAGATGCACTCGCCGTAGTCGTGGTTCCCCACCTGGGTGGCTCCTCCAAAGCGATCATGCGGAGGAGCACTGCATCTGCATAGGCACCAACACAAATCGGAATCACCGGTATGATGGCAAATTTAGAGCTTGCCCAAATTCAGCTCCACCGACTGCATCTCTCTAGTGTTTTCCCATTCCCCTCGAAAACAGGTCTAATTAAGATGCCTTCCAAAGTAAAAATAAAATGAACTAAGGCATTAAAAACTATTAAGGCTTAAGCCTTAACTAGTGCGCCCAACATGACATTGTCAAACAAGTTTCCACAAGCATACGCTGTAAGTAGAAGGGGTTTTCTAAGCGACAAAGCGGCTTGGCGGAGAGATGAGGTACGCCAGCAGTGAGAGTGGTTCTCTCTCAAAAATATGGAGCCGCGACCTCGTCTACGGAGACAGCAGGAGCTGCGAGTTGTTTTCTCTTCATCGCCGTCATGCGTGTCGGCTACTCGCTGCTCAGGCTCGTCCCCTTGTAGCCCAATTGCCGTCCCTCCTTCGCTCCCCCTGGCTATCCCACAAATAAACCCACTGGCGCTTTCCGAGCCCGGCGTATGACTCCTCCGTACTGCCTTAGCAGGTTCAAAAAAGACAGGAGATGAATCGCCGCCAGACGTAGAAAAAATCAGTCCAACTTCATCGCTCTGGCCTTCAGTGAGCCATACATCCAGCTTCACCTCTCTTCCGCTTGTGTTGGGTAGCGCACCCTCGTCTGGCCCATCTGGATTAGAGAATACCTCAAAAATGACCTCGATCGGCACTTGAGAATTACCACCACGCCCAGACCTCTTCGCTTCCTCATCATGTACGCTTACAGAGCCCCGGCACGAGCTACTTCTACTTAGTCGGTTCGAGGTCCGTGGGTCATCCCGTCCACTAGTTTCAACACCTCGTCCACCAGATCCATCTTCGATCCTCACTTCCGGGGGAATTGCCGCGCCCTCTGAATCCTCCAAACTACAACAAGACACTTTCATCTCAATCTCATCCAAAAGAAGCAACCCCTTCATTTCCCTCAACAGCTTGGCTCTCGGTCTCACCACATTGCGCAGTCGCTGCCAGTCTGGTGAAAGTAGGCTTTTCCTCGATATCGAGGCTCGAGGTTGTTCTTCGGAAAAGGTATCGCTTCCGTCCAAAGACTGCTGAACGAACTTCCTTGCGGCGTCCCATTTTCGCTTTGCTCGTCTTGCCAGCGGTGTATCTGTTCGTAACCCGATTGCTGTTCTTCTAGTCGTTCTTGTATCTCGTCCTTTGTAACACGATTCATCTTGTGAACTACTAGTACAACTTGTACTACCATTTACAGCATTCCGTAAAATGCTCTTGATCACACGTCGCAACGGTCCACGCCTGATTCTTTCGCCGCAGTCTTTGTCTTGAGCGAGGAGCTTTGTTGCTGCCAAGAGTTCCCGAGGAGAGGAACTTCTCAGTGAAGCCCCAGGCGAAGCAACATGCTGCGTCGACTTAGCTATTGAATCCGCAACGAAGCCAAGAAGCGCTACGCAGCAGAGTGTAGCCATAAACGATGCAGATCCAAACCCACCACGTGATACAGAAGGTCCACATCCAGCGCGAGAAATCCGCGACACCATCACTGTCCTCTTTGTCGTCATTTATACGTCAAGTACACGAAAGCGTCAACTGTCGTTGTCCTTCTCATTCTTTTCGTAGTACTATTGGCAGTGGTCGATTATACTTATTTTACTCTCTACCTCATGGGAGCACGCGTGCGTCGACTACGCCGACCTACACAGCAACCAAAAGGTGGTCTCAAGACTCCTCGCTTTCACTTGCAAAAAATAAACACTTGCTTCACGAAGAACCCCACACAAACTGAGCAAAAACAGGAAAAGTGATGTATCATAGGTATAGTCCGCAAACAGCGACCCAAGAGCAACTCATGGTCATACCGACGAGAGCACCAGCGAACAAAGTACGTGTGTCACTTATATCGAGGTTCTCCAAATGTACATCGATCTCTATTTTTGTGAACAATCTAAATCTTTTCAGCACGTGGTAAGCCTAACCATCGCGCAAGAAGTGGAACTTTTTACTCCTTGGCTTGATCATCAAACTTGTTCCACGTTGCTGTTCCACACCTGAAAAAGACTGCAGACTTGTAACGCTACCAAAAGCCTGCTTATTCCTGGCCTATCATGGAGAGAAGATAAAGTTTTGGATTGATTTTAGAGGAATGCAGATGCAGGCAGACGTCTACTATAACACCAGATGACTTGTTCTCGCTCTGCTCTCGATTCGAAGGAAATGGGGCACGGTCGGCGTCAAAATATGTATCAGTGTTTATGGAGGAAACCGAGCAGGAGAACTGTTGCTGATCCAGGTTGGTAAATGCCGGGACAGACGCGAATTGTCAAACAGTTCACGAGGTAAAACATCTTGTTCCTCAGACGGAAACAGAAATCTTTGGAAGATCGGCTTTTCCGCGCGAACACCCTGACCCACACTACTGTTCGTACACTAAACATGGGAACTAACACAGGGCTGCTCCCCTCCAGCAGCAACAGCATCTAAGATGTAGATGCTGTCGCAACGAAGTTCATTTTGACCGTTCGTCACTTCTCTCTCAACCGACGCTCGCCACGTGAAATAGTCCAGGAGACGGATCCAAAGCAATTCATGTTAAAAGATAAAGATTCCTTTTCAACATTGTTGAGATTCACCCCCTAGACCCCCCTGTTGTGCAGACTGCCTAAAGCTCGCAAACAGCTCGATTCGTCTTCCGATCGGCTGATGCCACTTCAATCTCATGGTGGTTCTTCTTGTTCTTCACATTTAGAAAAGCAAAAGCCCACGTTTACGCTTCATCTTCTGTTTGGGCGCTCCTCTGCATCTTCTCAGTTATTAGCAGCACAGGCACATCAGCTTTCAGGCTCCTTGTACCCAGGCAGGTTAGTATACCTCCGTCAGGCTGCTCCTGCAAAACTACTAGTCCCTGAGGAGAGTGACCTTCAAAAAAAGGTCTCAACATATTGTCACATCCGCAAGAGTTCTCATCTTCAACATGAAATGTCTGATCATGTCCATTATGTTGTGAAAAAGAGCAGGCTCTTAGGCAGTCGCTTTACTTCTTGTCTTTCTTCTTCTTGCTCTGGACGGGGGCTTCATCTTCCTTCTTCAGCTTCTCCTTCTCCATGAGGACCTGCTTCACGCATCGCTGTTCCTCAATCAAGAAAGCACGGACGACGCTGTTGTAGTAGTGTTGAGTGTGTGTACTAGATGGGAGGAGTTGAGAAGTGCAGATGTATTTCAGGAGACCACGAGGAGTAGATCAAGCGATTTTTAGGAGGAAATGTAGCACACATGATCAGGATAAATGCAGATTTACAACTTCACAGACTTGTTCCCTAGGAACTCATTTTGACCTACAAAAACTACATCTCCAGAAAACAACATGAACATACGAGATTCATCACAAGCAAATCTAAATAAGTCTATAAAGGTACCGCTGACGGACAGCTCCGGCGGACAGGGTACCACCATAGGCGCGGGAGACTTTACGAGAGCGCTTGCGCAGAGTCTTGTATCCGTGAGGACGGAGAGTCGGGATACCAGCCAAAGGCTTTCCGGTGTCACCGCACTTCGGCTTGCTCGCCTTCTTCTTGACGATCTGTTAAGATGTTCGTGGTTCGAGCTTAGAAGTTGGGTTTGTTTGTGATGGTTTAGGATTGTAGGTTTGAGTATGATGGTTTCAGGTCGAGGTTAGGAGAACGTCAAATTTAGATTACAGAGTCGAGATTCTTAGAGTGATAAGAATCTAGATAGCTGCGCTCTTATTGCTGTGGGAGAAAACACCTAGCTCGGCGGGAGGACAGACAGTTAAAGAGCTAAAATTTAGATTTCCAAATTTGCGATTAGAACTGCAATTGAAGTGAGTATACCTGGTAAGTCAATCGACCACCGGGAGTCTTCAAGAAGCGGTGTTTGTTGGACTTGGTGTTCCAAGACACGTGGCGAGAGTAAGTCTGACGCTGCACCATTTTCAACGGCTTAGTGACTCTCTAATCTCAGAGATTATACGAGCGGTCCTTCAGGTTCCCTGTTATTAGTAGGCGATAGAGGCGAGGTTTATGGTTATATCGTTGTAGATGAGAAAAATTCAACGTTATTTGGAGTGGAGATTTAGATGTGAAAGTAATGCGGATAGCGTGAAGGTGAGCAGATCGATGCGTAGTGTCGTTGGGTGGACTTTGGATGAGCTTAGCGATCAATGGAAATCCGATAATTGTATCATAATTTTGATGCAGAGCTTGATCAGTTCGGTTCTTTCGTTTTAGATTTAGAGACACGCGAGACTCGATCAGGATCTTTGCAAGAGGGTATTCCAGCAGGATCTTTCCTTGAAGAGCGCGGGTTGTTAGATCGAATAAGAATGAAATTTAGATCGCGAATCAAAGCTCGAGAATGATCGAAAAACAGTCCGTCATGGTGGTGGTGATCTTCTATCAACTTCTTTGAACCTCCTGTTGTCAACATAGATTTAGATTGCACGGCCAGACTCTAGATGTTCTTGGACGAAGCGCTCACGCTCTACTACCGTCTTGAAAGAAGTAGGATCACAACTATAACGCTGAAAAGAACGTGGTCTCGAATTGTCTTAACGACATTTTGGATCTTTTTATGGGATCGGGTCCTTGCCGGAATGCCACAATTTCCATGATCTAAATGTCGTCAGCCAACACCTTGCGTACATCTAAATTTTCAACTGTTAGTTCTCTGTTGGTAATCTTCCATTACAATTTCATTGTACACGAGACTATCATCACAGCTTGTTCAAGGAAGAATCTTGAGGTGGAGACGAGAACAAAATCAAAAACAGACTTGTAACAGGAAATGTGAGCTGCATCAAGAGTCACAAGAATCGGTCCATAAATTGGGTTGTTTGGTTTTGTACATTCTTGAGAATGAGATCTGGAATTATCCCGTCCGTCTCGGAATATTTCGAAAAATTTGGATACTCGAGGTGGAAGACGCAAATTGAAACAACCTTTTCAGGAGTATAAGGCTACAACAATTATGCTCACATCCGTGCCTAACCTTATCAGATACGAGTACGGCTCACCGCGGAAGCCGGTTTCAAGAACCGTCTTTCAACTGTAGCAGAGCACAAAAGCTTTTGTAACTCCGCAAAGTATATGCAGAAGTTGAGAATCTTCTAGTATTATTGCCATCTCCATCAGCATCTTTAGAAAACTCTTCTCGTCCACTGTCTCCTGACTCGCTAGCGCCGCTTTCCTTCCACATCTCTACTCGCATACAAACATCTGCTTGGATTATTTCTGCGAAAGCCATTCCTTCTGCAGTGCCCAACTCAAACAACGGCAGAACTGTAATACGCTGAGATGCTTGCGTGCGTACTAAAGGCGACGACTTTAGATACGCTGCGTTCAAAAGTTGGACGTCAGCTTCTCTCGTGGTAAGGACCTGGTTTCGTCAGAAATTGAATCGCCAAAGGACGCGCACCACGTGGATACGGTGTTGTTGCGATGACATGACGAACTAATGCCCAACCCTGTTCTTCCTTGTTCTCCTCCGCTGTTCCCGCGGATGCGGAAGAAGTCGTCGTGGAGGTGGTTGTCTTGTTGTTCTTCTTGTTCGTAATTCAGAGCGTGGACCGAATGGCACTGATTCCATTTTTTGTCGGATGCTCCTATAAACCAGAGGTGCCCCTACCTCAGATGACAAATATCCCTCTCACAGATCAGCGACAAACAAGTCCAACAAGTAGTAAAAACACAAGATCAGCCGTTATTTGATAATCTGAATTCGATCACAGGCGCTCTCTAGCTCTTGTTTTTTCATATTATTATGATCAGACTCAGGCGACCAAATACCAGAACCATACACAAAAACAAAACGCGCAATGTGATGGCGATCACGGCCTATGTTCTTATTAATCCGAGTGCTTGTTTTTAAATCTTGTTGTGGTCATCATCTTATACTCTTTTTAATCTTTATCTTTATCAATCACAATCGTTGTAATTCCTTATGTCCAATATTATGTATGATCCAGATCCACGAAGAAGCAACATATTCGGCTACAAGTACAACTGCTCGTCCTGTGTTAGGTCGAGCAACAATCGAAAAGACAAACTCCTGATCAACGTGAATCATCCACTTTGATCAAGCTTGCAATTCTTAGTCGTGTCCTCTAGATTCTATCTTGTTAGTAAATGAGGGAGTTTCAGAAGTTTGCTCCTCATCCTCGAACGGAGCTGATAATAAATAAAAACACAAAATATGGATCCACCTTTTGAAAGCGTTAATATTCGATCATTATACACAGAAAATTATCAACAATGCGGGTTCATGTACATCCATCCCTTTTGTGTACTTATGACGACCGAGGATACAAATTAATTGCGATCATGTGAGTGCCACTTGCGTGTCTTTCTTTCTTTCTTTCTTTCATCCTTTCTCTGTCTTTACCCTTTTTTCTGCTGTCTTTCTTTCTATTTCTTTCTGAGCCTTTCTTTAATCTTTCTTACCAAATCTAAATGTACTTAATTAAATCATTGTACTTAAATCATCCTGGAGACAGTGAGTGTGTTCAAAGCTTTGCTTCCGCATCACAGCTCTAGCTATGATGTCGTGCTCCTTTAACAACAAGTGCGCTTGGCCTCGGGGCAGCAAGCTTTCTGCACATTAGCAGCCGAGAGTTTGATTAACCACTCCTGGAAATCGGCAGGAGCGGGGCTGTGGCTGTCCGCGTTCAAGCCGCGCTTTTGCATTTCGACCGAGATTTGATTGAGTTCCTCATCTAACACGGCTGCAGTCAATACTCCCTTCAGCTGGCTCGGGATGACATTCTTACCACAGGCCTCTTCAATGTGGGACGACTCAAGCTCGGAGCACTTCCTGTCTCGCACGGGAGTAGCTTGCTTCTTGCTTAGAAAAATCGATATCAGTACATAGGCACGAGGAATAAATGAAGATATTGCGCCAGCAGATGTTGAAGATCATAAACATAGCGAAACATTGTAATCGTCGACACGGGTGAGGATGACCCCGACCGCTGCATCTTCCGTCTTGGAATTCTGAACAACTCGCACTAGTTGTACAGACAATACAAGGCAAAAATTATGATTAGATAGAATGAACAAGTGATGATCTAGTTTTTCCGGAAGAAGTAGAACAAATTTCGACACGACGGCCATGTCGGGGGTTCAGTTTCAAACTCATAAGTTAACAGCGAGCGTCACAGCCTCCACGGCGACAGCCACCACAACGCATCCCTTCAATAAAACGCGGGACACTTTTGTTGATCTCTGTCTTGTTCGTCTAGTACCGGACTAAACAAGAGAAAATGAAAAGGATGAACAACAAGCAGAACGATGCTCTACCTCTAGCTCGTATGAAATTGAAATACCGTTAACGGATACGGATACGGAGTCTTAGTTTTGCTTTCGCTTAACTAAAAACTAAGTATGCAGCTTAGTCTGAATTATAGAAGACGTGGTGGGTCCTCACGCTCACGGAATGTGGAGGCGTTTTTTTTGCTTTTCCTGTCTAGAGGAGTTGTAGACGGTGAAGGTTCAAGCAATTTCAATTTCATGATCCTGCCGTCAGTGTCTCTCTCACGTAAACGCAAATGCACTCGAGGACTACAGAATCAAGTATCTGTATGCAACATTCGTTATCTCATCCTCAACAGAGACGCACTCAACCAGAGGAGGGCTTCGAAAAAGTTCTTTCGTTGTCATCTCTTCAACAGACCACTGGGCTCAGAACAGAGACGCTCCTAATCTGCATCTCAGATGACAAACAACTCTCTTACAGTCCAACAAGTGCAAGTAGTAAGAACTCAAGATCGATGACAAACTGTCAAGGTTGTCGGGTTTGCGAAGTAGCAAACCCGTCGGTCTAGCATAATCATCAATATCAACTATCCACGTAGAAGTACAACAAGAGCAAGTGTCGGCCCAACTCCAATATTCAGTCTTCGATACTTCACGAAAAAGTGAGTATGAACATGTACTATCACAACTTCTGAAAAGAGACTTCTTGTGTTTGTGATGCTAAAAAAGATAAAGTTTCTAAACTAGTACTTTAGGAATTTTCCACTTTAGTTCGACAAACGATGAAGAATATTTCCCAGAATAACTGAAAGCCATTGAGGGACGCCGTTCTTCTTGCCCACTCCGTGCAGATTCCGGCATTGTTTCCAAAATTTTTCACACGAACGCAGTAAATAATTTTATGCCAAATTTTTAGTCGTGGTTGCCGAAGTAATGGGAAGTCACGACTTACTTCATGACACGCTGCAAATGAGATCGATATGTGATTTGAACTCAGTCTCTGTTCGTCCATTTTTTTTGGCTTGTTTGTCTTTGAGTGCCTGTTCATGCTGCTCAGTACACAGCCATGGTTTTGCAGCCGAGGAAATACATCACCAGGATCAGCGTACTCATGGGCTCTATTCGGGGTGATGCAATTACATCTACTTTTAGTTCTAATTCTTTTCTGGACTGCCCACGGAACCTGAACCACCTCGGATGTATATATGTTCCGAGCCACTGCTAGACGAGATTTCTCCACCATCTTCTCCATCCGAAAGACTGTTGCCTTCTTTAGCGCTTCTGCTACGATAACGTTTCCGGTCAGCCCCATGAGCTCGTTGAGGATTGATACAACCAAAAACCCAATCAAGAAGACAACTGACGAATGATCATCCATGATGTAAGTAAGTACTAACTGTTCATGTACAACGGCGCTATCATCATACTGCATCCCAAACGACTATACTCAGCCATCGGCGGGAGGATGCATTTCCTGCGGTTGTGAAGACGTTTTTTAGCCCTGTTTTGTATGAGCAAATGTGCCACTTCTCTATCTGCATCCAACATCTCTTTTGCGGAATTGCAATTCAATCAACGTACAACTACCACTATCTTGTTCCCGGCATTCAGTGTCTGTAACGCCAGTTAAAGCAGTCACGAGAAAGTACTTAATTGTCGAATTCATGGACAAGAACATTGTCACACCTCCAGCTCTCCATTGTTCAACACCTTGTGTTTGTTCCTTGAGTCAATAGCTCTCCATGATGTTGATGATCAACTGAAACTACTGGACGAATATACAGCTACTTCTTGCGCTGTTGGGCGCTCTTTAGCGCCTTGTTGTCCTTGCTTCTTCTTCAGAAATGCCTCCAGACGCTCGACCACTTCTTGCGCTGTTGGTCGCTCTTTAGGGTCAACCGCCAACATCGCTTTGAGACCGGAATTTGAATCAGAGATACGCAGTTGCGGGTAGTTCATGAGAAAGATGTCTGGGTCAGAAGAATCAGGCTTCGCTTAGAAGAAGTGTTGGCAAGTAGTCTTTTGCCCGTTGCTCGTCATTCCTCCATCGTTCCCGCGTTCTTTATTCTTTTGTCCTGAAGGGAGGACGGGAAGAGCCACAAAGAACGACGGCATCAAAAACACGAGGAGAAAAAAGAACTACTTAAACTTATTTCATTCGCCTTAATTGAAATTGTTGCTCTTGATTGTCTCTGGCAGTCCCTTGGAGCGCTGCCCAGCTGGTTCGACCAAATCTAGGAGCTCTTTGTCGCTCTTGATTGTCTCTGGCAGTCCCTTGGAGCGCTGCCCAGCTGGTTCGACCAAATCTAGGAGCTCTTTGTCAACTTGATCAAAGTAGAAGCGGTTGTTTCGTGGTACGCTGTCCTTCGCCTTCCGTTGTGCTGGAGCTTCGCCAAGTTGAAACGCGGAGCCGGCGGAACGGCTACGCATACGAAAGCTTCCGAACAGCAGCCGGTAAAAAACGATTCCCGCACTCCAAATGTCCACTTTCAGAATGTTCTCGGCGTAGCGCTGCACACTTCGTGCCTTTGCTAACATCTTCTTGAAGGCATATTTCTTAGAGATATCGACCCTATCATATCGAAGATATCGATGCCCCTCCACACTTCTTGTTCGTAGCATACACTGTCTCCTCGGTGAGGGCGACTCAGTTTGTGTAAGTACGTTCGTCGGTGAAGTAGCTACCTGATGATGGGGCCGGAATGGTTACCGTTACTTATATATACTTACCATGATAAACTAAAAATGGGGTTGTAGCCGTAACAGTAACTGAAAAGCTTAAGCTGTTGGAACTCGGCTGCTTCTGTTGCGGGAGACTTTTCAGTTCCTCTAGATGCTTTTCGAGATCACCCACGTGTTTGCTCAGCTCACTGCGCATCTTTTCCACTGAGTCAACACCTGGAGATATTGTCCGCGCTGAAGTGTCAGTGTCCTGCATCAACGCCAACAAACCAAGGTACTCTCCAGGTTTTTTCTGCAGTTCTTCTACTCGCGGGTGCGGGAAACGCCTCTCAGCATGTGAACAATCCGGCGCTACAGTTGCCACTTCTAGCGCCGGGTTGTGTGCATCGTAGAACGCCCTATTCAAGTACGTTGCAGTGAGCTCTGGAGCTTTGTATTCGGGCGTCACGATTTTTTTCGGGTGAGCCGATCGCCAGTCCGTATGCGCGACGCCAAAATCGACCAGTGTAGCCCCCTTTACTTCCTTGGAAGTAGGCATGTACTCGAGCATTACATTCGCCTCTTTGATGTCACCGTGTAGCATCCCTTTCTTATGCACGTCCGCAACAGCTCGCATCAACTCCAGCATGATGGCCGCAACAAAGACAACGTGCCGCTGGACGACAAATAAATCGAAATCGGTGGATTTCAATTCGTCGTCTTCTTCATAGAAGTCGTCGTATAGAATCGCGTAAACCGTGTTGAGGTTCTCGAACATTTCCGTGACTACGGCGAGTAGGCTCTCGCCCGCCGCTTTTTTCATCACAATAAAAGGCGTCCCCGGCCCGCCGATCTGCACATTTTTCTGGACGTAGTCTTAGATAGTGAATGATCCGTATGACTGTATATAAAAGAATATGATGGACATGAACAACAATTCTTTACAATGCAGAAGAGAAAGATCAAGATGAAAGCGAATAGATTCTGGGTGTAATAGTCTAGTCTTTGTGCTTGCTTGAATGAACTCCCTACAATGTTGCTGACCTCTTGCCTTGTTCTTGAAGGAAGCAGCATCGATCTCGTCGTCGACAAGAATATGGAAGTGAATGGCGATGGCCGCCTCTTATTTGTATCAGTATTTCCGCGGTAGCCATAAAAATTACCTGCTTCCGTGGCTGCCAGCGTGTAGGAAGACCCTTGGTTCCCCTCGTCTGACAAAGAGATGGCGCGATCCTGGCATACGTGCACAAGACCAGAGTCGACGATTTGCGCAACCCGAGAACGTTCGTGGCCACCACCGTCCTTGGATGGATTGGGGTCGCTTCCAGTTCCACGTGGATCCGTTCGATCTTCATCGTGGTCCTTTAGTTCCTCCAAGTTCGCGACCTCTTTTTTCATATCAATAATCTCACTTTGATCCGGTTTTTTGAAGAAGAGCTTAACCACAAGTGGTCGTCCTGTAGGTGAAGAAGAAGATCCCGCCTCTGCGTCTGGTCCTGCAGGAGCGTCACTATCCGCTTTTGGCGAAGACGCAGCCGCCCATCCTTGACCATGCTGTTGCTGTCCAGGAGATTGCGCATGCGCCGCTTCTAAGAATGAAGATACTGAGGGCGGCCATGATGGGTCCTCTCTGTTGTTCGGCGTCGCAGAGGAAACGGGACAGAACAGAGAACAGTCTTCCACCAGCTCCACAGGGTACAGTGCGCCGTAAGCACCTTGACCAAGGCGCCGCGAGTCAGATATAGTGACGCGAAAACACTTGCTCTCATGTTCAGAGCGAGTGCCGTGACCCACGTTCGAATACTCTGCACGAAAAACCACCTCCCGTCCGACATTCGACATCGAAGAAGCGCTCGACCCCATCGCGCTTTTCGCGATCGAGCAGGTCGTCAAGAGCGCGAAAAGGGACGAGGTCGTCGAAAAGATGAAAAGCTTCGACATCTTGTTTCTGAAATTTGGTTGAAGTGATGTTTTTTTAAGAGTTCTTGGAAGCAAATGCCTCAACAGGAGCAGGACGAGATGGAGAATACTCGATCGCGTTCGCGAAAAAGTAGGAAAATCTCGGTGTAGCACCTTCAGCTTTGAAAATACGACTGGCACCAAGAATACGATTGACAACGCTTATTTCGTAAGGTTAAGTACAACAAGCAGAACGATGCTCTACCTCTAGCTCGTATGAAATCTCTTACAGTATAAAGTTTTTCCCTCGTTTTGATTTTGATTTTGATTTTGATTTCATATTTTGAATTTTGATTTTGAATTTTGATTTTGAATTTTGATTTTGAATTTTGGTTTTGAATTTTGATTTTGAATTTTGATTTTGAATTTTCTAAATATCAAAGTTTTGAAATTTGGGCCAAAGTTTCGAAATTTGGGCCAAAGTTTTGAAATTTGGATCAAAGTGTTGAAATTTGGATCAAAGTGTTGAAATTTGGATCAAAGTGTTGAAATTTGGATCAAAGTGTTGAAATTTGGATCAAAGTGTTGAAATTTGGATCAAAGTGTTGAAATTTGGATCAAAGTGTTGAAATTTGGATCAAAGTTCTCAACACTGGACCGAAGCATCTGTTCGCTTTCCTTGCACATTCATCTGCAGTTCATTGTTCTAGCAAATTTTTTGGAATTCCCTTGACGCCTGCCCCTGGGGAACCACTCCAGAGAGCTAGTATCGTTAACGGATACGGAGTCTTAGTTTTGCTTTCGCTTAACTAAAAACTAAGTATGCAGCTTAGTCTGAATTATAGAAGACGTGGTGGGTCCTCACGCGGCTCACAGAATGTGGAGGCGTTTTTTTTGCTTTTCCTGTCTAGAGGAGTTGTAGACGGTGAAGGTTCAAGCAATTTCAATTTCATGATCATGCCGTCAGTGTCTCTCTCACGTAAGCACAAATGCACTCGAGGACTACAGAATCAAGTATCTGTATGACGTATGTAACATGCGTTATCTCATTCTCAACAGAGACGCACTCAACCAGAGGAGGGCTTCGAAAAAGTTCATTCGTTGTCATCTCTTCAACATACCACTGGGCTCAGAACAGAGACGCTTCTAGTCTGTATCTCAGATGACAAACAACTCTCTTACAGTCCAACAAGTAGTAAGAACTCAAGATGATCGATGACAAACTCTCAAGGTTGTCGGGCTTGCGAAGTAACAAGCCCGTCGGTCTAGCATAATGGATGGTTCTGGTATTTGGTAACGTGAATTCGATCACAAGGATTCTCTTCTTGTTTTCCTTATGATCAAAATCAGGCTACCAAATACCGGAAGCATACACATAACATTAACTATCCACGTAGAAGTACAACAAGAGCAAGTGTCGGTCCAACTCCAATATTCAGTCTTCGATACTTCACGAAAAAGTGAGTATGAACATGTACCGTTCTTCTTGTCCCCTCCGCGCAGATTCCGACATTGTTTCCAGAATTTTTCGCACGAACGCAGTAAATAATTTTATGCCAAATTAGTCGTGACTGCCGAAGGAATGGGAAGTCACGACTTACTTCATGACACGCTGCAAATGAGATCGATATGTGATTTCAACTCAGTCTCCATTCGTCCATCTTTTTTTGGCTTGTTTGTCTTTGAGTGCCTGTTAATGCTGGTCAGTACACAGCCATAGTTTTGCAGCCTACCTAGGAAGAAAAACGACGAAATGCATCAGGATCAGCGTAAGTACTCATGGAAATCAACTTTGAATACTGAAGTAAACCAGAATCGAACAGCAGGATAGCGATAGCAAAGTTCCTTTGAATATGAACATTAGAAGTTAGTGGCCCCGGAGCGGGAAGTACGGCCATCTACTTCTTCGTGGCTGGGGTCATGCTCATGGTGCCTCTGCTCCCTCGTTTGTTGGTGTTGCGTCTCTTCTTGGGTTTGCGAAGTAGCTCCCCGCTGGCTTTGTCGCTCTCTGATGTCCTTCGGAGGACGAAAGCCGAGTGTGAGTCCGAGCGGCCAAGTCTTTTTTGGATCGGTACACCATTCCCTTCGTTATCCGTAGAAAAACAGGAGGTCCACGTGCTCGTCACCGGGTGATTCACTGTTACCTCGAGAAAATCCAGTTCTTGCTCTTGATTGAACTGGAACTTAAACTCGTAGTGCGGCTTTTTTTCTTCGCAGACTCCTCTTTCACTGCTTCCTTCTTCGAACACGGTCTCTGACGCGAGAACAAGACTCCACTTATTGTTCTGCACTAAGTCGTATCCAGTGACATACGAACGAACCATGGGCATGCGAAAATGCGCAATCGGCGTCGCGTCTTTCCCGATCTTGAATTCCAAGGGCACTTGGCCAATCACATGTCCCTCAACCTGGTTTGTCGGCTTCCCTTCGCATGTGACTGCAACGGGGAACCCTCGCTTCGGAGGAAAAGGAAACCCGGGTCGCGGTCGGCTTTTGTTCCAGGGGTCGCACTCTTCGAGGAGGCGCTGCCCTAGATCCCTGCCTGTCTTTTCGTTTTCCCTTGCGGCAAGATCTGCAGCTTCATCAGCTGTGCCAGTTTTTTTGGACGAGGTGAGGGAGATCGTGTCTAAAACCTCTGCATCGCTCTCGACGACCGCCCACGCGCTTTGGGCCAGCTTGTTCGCGGCCTTTACAGCACGATCCGAGAGCGGGAATTCCCACGCTTTGTGTGGAGCTTCATTAAAGGCATCTTCGTAGAAGGTCCGGTTGTCGCGAAATTCCTCACGCAATTCCTCGATTGCTTTCTGCACCGCCGGGAGTCGTTCGAACTATTCCGCAAACTTTAGCTCTAGAGGTGTCTGCTTGTGCTTCATCCGCGCCTCGTGTCCCGTGCTCTTCGAAGTCCGTGCCATCTTCACATTCCCAACGAAATCCGTGTGTTCCGCGATGGTGCGACACACGTCAGGTTGGAAGATCTCCTGTTCAACCCTGCTCTTCTGCTGCAAAGGGCCTCCGAGCGACGCAAGAGGAGTCACTGCTGCGGCAGTAATTGCTGCGGTCTTCGAAAAAAACGTCATGATCATTCTTTTTTAGTCGATTTTTTTGTTAGTATTGATGCGCCCGGGGGAACGCGTGCGCTTCGTTTTATTTCTTTTTTGTTTTATTGTTTTGCATCTAGTATAATTAAGCTAATAAGTTCAACTATGTCCCCGAATAAATGACGTAGTTGTTCTAGGTTTCTAGTATTCCTTGGGACATTTGGTCAGAGAGCAGCAACTGCAACGAGAGGAAATGCTTAGTGAAAAATAATCATATACTGATCTGCTGTGATATTTTCATTGTACAACTACTAAAAACGTGCCAAAATAAAGGAGGGAAGCCGTTCACTGAAAACAAGAAGAGTTGAAAACAAGGAGTGGTAAAAACGTTGTACTCACAAGTAGCACCTTGCAGTAATCCTGTTTTGTTTAAGGGAGGAGGCGAGGCTAGCCCAGATGTTCTCTTTGAATCTGAGTCCATCACTGGATCTGCATGATCGATAGGTTGTAACAGAAATGTCCTGCTGTAGTGACAAAGAGTCTGTACTCCCATAGAGGTAGAGGTAGATGTCATTGACCCTTTTATGAACCTTCTTGATCTTTTATTTATGAACCTTCTTGATCTTAGAAGGAAAAAATGGAAGTGAAACGGTAAGAAACGAGTCCCAGTTGTTCCCTCAAACATAAGGATTGATAAGTATCAGTGATCTGAAGGAACAATTTTCGAAATAACTTCTGCAGACGTTGACTTGCACTTGGGATGATGACGATCCATATAATACCCAAATCTTTTGGTTGATCGTCATCTTCACAGAGCAGCACATAGATACACTGCTCAGGTGAGTACAATGAATTACATAAATTTTGGCGTTGTAGAACTTCTACAGTAGAAGAAGATGAAGATAAAACTGGTCCTGGTGGTGGTGTGCAATAAAAATATATTATTAAGCTATACTTTTTCATCTTTTTAAAGTGTAAAACCTGTAACGCGCGCGCGCGCGCGTTACGCGCGCGGGTTACGCGCGCGCGCGCGTTACGCGCGCGCGTTATAACGCGTTACGCGCGAAATAAGGCGCGCGCGTTACATGCGCGCGGCGCGCGCGCGTAACGCGCGCGCGGGGGGGGGGCACTCGCGACCGGGCTCGCCGCGGCGGGGCC